TAAAAAAAGTGTGTATAGGTATTTAATTTGTAAGACTCGCGCCAACTTGAAATTCGTATCAAATATTTGTACTTACCAGCCATCGTCCACGGAAGCCAGAAAATATAATTGAAAATCGCGCAGTGACCAACATTTAATTGGCACTGCGAGTGATGATCTTATAAAGTCTTCCCACCTGACACGGGTAGTCGATTGCCGACGCGTTCCTCCCTAAGCATTTAATACCCGTTTGCCATTTACAAGTTTAATTGGGACTTGAAGTGTTGACTCAAGTTGAAGATCACAATTTAAGTCGGCATTCGAAGTAAAGTTATCGCTGTTTATTGCCTTTACTTTTTCGTATGTCTTTAATGTATTCATTTCGTTAAAGTGGGTGGCCCCCGTCTTCCGCTCGCGAGATCTAGTCTACGTTCGCATACCAAAAAATAAAATACTTTGAAACTTTATTTTTTTTTCGTGTGATGCAACTAATGAAAATCCCATTCGCGTTTTCGAATTTTTTCAATCTTAAAATAATAATAATAATATTTTCCTTATATATACTATAATACGTCCTCTACGATGCGGGAAAATTATTTTGAGGGAACTAGAATATGTAAGATAAAATGCAACTTAGAGGTTTAATACCAGTGGACTGACGATTTACCTGCTAAAAGAGATTCAGTAAACCTTTCAACAGAACTAATGGCCATTGCCCAGGCTAATAGTGTTCGCAGCTCAGACCGTTCCCTGCTTTATAATGAGCCACTTACATGAATATTCAGAGGCGGGTGTTATATCGACAGGGTCAGCCCATAACGTAATAAATCGGAGGGTTAAAGTGGGGCAGCCCTCCGTTAATCTTGCTAACGCCTCTTGACTTGACGTTTAGTCTCACAAAACATTGCGTAACTCCCATCCTTAATTACATTACCACCGACCTCACCACTTCCTTACATTTATACTTTCATTTTCAATATTTTTTAGTATCATTTAAGAGCTTTCACCCTTTCATTGCCCGACCCGTTTGTCCACCTGTCTTTTGTTGTCCTTTTCATGACTTCACCGAAGCCGAAAATAAAACTCTAAGAGAGATCGTCATATTAGGTCATATTATCTACCACGACTCGAAGGCCACTCACGGGCTTCCGCGCCTAACTATTACAGTCTGTCCATTTTGCCGAAATAACCTTCAACGACTCTAAAGTATCTTCGCCTTTATAAATTGTCTCCGTACCCTTTTAATACACCACATATATTTTATAAAAACTTGATTATTTTTCACGTGTGATTTTTGCATTTTTCTAAGTCTTAATTCTTAACCTAACAATTTCCACATAACGTGTGCATTATCTCTGCACATTTGCCACCTCCGAAGACAGCTCGGTCGATCCCCCTTTTGATTGCATCGCAAGTCTTCTTTATCCGCATTTCCAATTATTTCTATTCTCTATTTAACACGTCTACGGTGCGATTTAAGAGTATACTGCTAAGCGGAATTGTTTATATTTATAGCGAAACATTTCGGTGCATGAGTGCATCAAAGAGCCTTAAAATATTTTCAGGAGGAACTTCATAAACAATATCTTAGCACAAACATAGAGTCATTTAATCGGTCCGAATAACAACGACATGTATTTATTAACCAATAACATGGGTATTTATACATGCTATTTATATATGTGCGTGGTCGTGCTACAGACATGTCAGGACAATATGTTTCGATTAAATTAAGCAAACCAAGTCATCTAACGGGGTCAGGCTGTAGTTACTAAGTGCCTACACTAAGATAGATTAAAACCTATTTATTAACGTAACATCGCAATGACTAAGAAAGATGAAGCGAAATGGAGTCATAATGTGCGTGCAAACACAAACCTGGCTGAATAAGTAACTTTTAAAAGCTTTCTTTGAAACTCACTGGGAACACTCGGTCTCAGTCTAGAATATGTTATAATAAACTGGCAAGCTCAAACTTTAGCTGAACTGGAGAGAAAGACGCCTTATGTGAACGTTTAGCTGATTTGCGTAAGTCCAACTTTTACTTGCTAAATTGTATAGCATTAGCCGAAACGTTATATTTAATCCGTGACTAGAATTCCGACGTACCTAAACATGTTTAATTTTTATAATATTGATCATGCAAACATGTCAATAAGTTCCACAGTGGTGTATATAGTGTAGCTTATTATTGTAACATCATCCAAATGTCATTTAAATTTCTTCTAAAAAAAACAATATGAAGAGTATACTCATGACCTTCTAGCTGTTTCAGCGACTTCGTCAGCTTAGAATAAATATTTGGGGCATCAATTTTTATTTTTGCTAACCACCTCATCATCTTTATAGATTCCCGTCGTTCTTGCAAGTTACTCTTAAAAGACAAACACATAGTGTCGCAGACGATTTTTCTAGATCGTTCAAAGAAGAAACATTCTTTCATATATTATTTTAGGGTATCTTGAACCTTTTCCGCAGCGTACGCAACGAAAACCCTCAAAGATGAGTAATTCTTCCCGTTTTCTCCACATTTCTCCCTTTTTCATCGCTCGTATTAGTCGCAGCGCGATGTTTTAGCCTTCTTCGATAGATGTTCTAACCGACACAAAAAATTCTTCAATTTTCACCAGATAAATACCAAAATAAATATGTTTCCAATGTACGGGGACTTCCACGCGCTCTATAATAACTTGAATAATTGACAACACTTTAGTAAAATTGAATATAAAATCGTCGAGTCATTCATTCGAAAACTCCGCTAAGCCGATAACACTCGCCACTCGTCCAGATTAAATTGAAACTGAATATGCCAGAGACCAATTTTAATTGGTTTACTTTTATTCCATTTTGCTTCCTGTTGTCGTCGAACATGTGTTATTTATTCTTTTATTATAACGTAGACAAATAGTAAGAAAATACTGAAAGTTTTTTTAACTAGGCTTTAAAAATCGTCATTTCTCTACTGTCTATAGTTTACGTGAGTAGGACACATTTAAATAAAACACTGTAACGGTTTAAAACGCGATATATTAGTTATTTGAAAAATGATTTTTAACTTCAGCACGATGTTACGGATGCTTTGCAGCAGCCGTGGTCACTGGGAGACTAAAGATGGAGGATGCCTCTGACGTCAAAGTAAAAATACGCTAGCGCCATCTGTTCCGTCGAAGTTGGTATTTGGCGAAACTGGCCGGGTCCTTACAGAATTGACTAACGGTGTCTTCACGTTTGCCGGTATGCTTTTTATTGGGATCCAGAGTTTTTAATATGGGATCTCAGGTGTTTGATAATTTGAGGTCGTCCTCTCTATGGAAATTTCGGCGTTTTTTGATTTCAATTGCTTCGCGTACCAATCTTGGAAAAAATCGACTCTCCTATGCGAGGATTTTTGGCTGGTCAAAGCGAATGTAATGATTGGGCCCTTCCGATGAGTGTTGGCATACCGCAGATTTGGAGAGACGTTTATGTTTTATATCCGCGACGTGTTTTTTAATTCTGTTTGAGATGCTACGCTTTGTTTGACTGTGGGTGCCTCGTTCCTGTTCCTGGGATGCTGCAGAGGGACTTTCAGCTTGTTCTTGCATAGGACCTGCTTGACATGCTGTAACTCCTCATTTAAGTGGGCAGCATCTCAGAGACGGCGGGCTCTCTGAAACAAAGATACTCCGACAGAACTAAGTTGGCTGGGGTGGTGATGTGAGTCACCGTTTAAATACCTATCTGTATGGGTTGTTTTTCTAAAGACGGTATGATATATTTGTGTATATATCGCGTTTTAAACCGTTAAAGTTTTAATTAAACGTCATTTCTCTGTTAAAATATTTTAAACTAGTAGTAGTGGGGTAGACATTTTTTTCCTTTCCTCAATATTATTTTTCTTTTTATTATTGCGAGGTAGGTCCAGGTGCATTTAGTAGTTGGTCGAAGGCGATCAAATGAAATATGTTAAAAAAATACCAGTAGTTTTGTACGTCTGTTTACACAAAATTGCAAATATTGGAAGCCAGATATTTCATATTGTACAATATTGGTTTCCATTGTATGTGGACATTTTTGATGGTGTCCTATTTCCATCAATACACTGAAAACATAAATAACTTTTCTGAATAACATATTTTTTTAAGGTAACGGACAAAATTTAACTGATAAGTTTTGCCAATAATTAGTAACCAATAGCATAATATTATGAATGTAGAGATACCTAAAATATTATAGCAATGATATAGAGAATAAGAAAAATAATGTTCGGGCAATAGTTAGCCAACTATAAATTAGTTCTTATGTAGCCGGTAGGTGTGCTGCTTGAGCTTCGTTTTGTCTCTCACGTCTAACTTATTCGGGCTTTGGCTCTGAAAGCCGACCGATATCTTTTAATCATTTGGTTTTTTTAACTACGCGCTTTTTCATTGCATCGCTATTGAGGTTTTACTTTTGTGGTTACTCTATATTTAGTTCAATTGAATAGAAACACGTTGAAAAAGTAACTAGTTTTATAAAAAATATCCCTTTTCAGAAACTTTAAGCTTTTTTAAATTCTATAAATACAGCTTTATACAAATTAAAAAGCTAAATTTATGTATATATATATATTAAATATAATAATAGTATTATTATTAATATTTGTACAATAACGTGAATGTTTAAAATACATCATTTTATGGCTAAACCGGTACACTTTTGAAGGTAAAATCGTTGTCACATAATAACGTGGCCATTCTTTCTGCTCCCACAAAATAATCTCAATTCGTTTCCAGAAAAAATATACAAACGCCCGGGTTTGAATATTTTTTCCCGCCATGAATTTAATTTAAAAGCTGTTAGCTTGAAGAGGTTTAATTGGGTAGATAAGTATTTATTACAAAAGATAAATAATCGGAAAAGGGCTATTAGGTACACAATATCGGCGCTAACAAGATTACGCTATGCGCGTGTTTGTCTGACGAAAATGGCATACCTTAATATATAATGCTGTGATTTATTACAAAGATGCCAATAAAGCGGGAGCGGCAATATTTTTCGGCTCAGAGGCGCCTGGCCGGGCCATAAACTTTAGCTATCTCATGGGTGACGGCTTCGGGGCTCAGCTCCCGACGGGACCTTCCTCCGAGTCTCGAGGTCTCGGCTGAGGCCCAGTTTTGCTAACTGTGGCGCAATAATGACAGAGTAATAATTAAAGTAATATGGATCCACTCAAAGATGACATGCAATTTGGTATATTATAGATAAGGTGTTCGGTGCAATGTTTGAAGACAATTATTATTGGCAGAGAGGCAAAAGGCCCCAAACAGCGACAAAGCGGCCCAGCTAGCTCGTGGTATACATTCGGGCAATTTGACTAGAGTTTGGTCGCGATCGCGATATATTGTCACGATAAAGATAATATAAGATAATTTTTGTGTGGAGTTATTTGTGTTTCGTGAGAAAGGTTTAACAACTCTTTGCGAGTTTACGCTTGTGGGCGTTAAGTGATGGAATACGTTCAGGTCAGATCGTCCTAATGTTAGAACAATATTATTCACAATGATTAATGATGATTGAATGTGGCTTTGTCGCATTGTCAATAGAGCAATTGAATCAACGAGCTAATGTCGAGTTTGCGACTTCTGCCTTCGAACTCATAATAGAAATGATTTGAAGCGCGTCTAAACCGATTGGGGTTCAAGCTTCGATTAAAACAGTTGAAATTCTTGACGTTAGAGTAGAGAGATGGTGTCAGCGACGCATAGTTCGTGGAGTTATGCTTTGAACTAGGAAACTGGGAGTTGGGCCTACACGCACTGTGGGATAATCTACGACACCTTACACCGTCTTAGCAATATCGCTTACTCGGCGCTGAAATCACGCGTCATAGCTGTTAACAAATATTAAATGAACTGTATTAGGTTATAAAGATGTAAAAGAAGAAATACATTTCGATCTTTAAGAACTGAAGGAGTTAGTACTTACAAACCTTCATTTCAGTAGGTCGATATGGCGCAGTCAGTATTATCAGATCGTCTCGGCCCTTACTACAAGTAGAAATGACTACAACGTGGCAGTGCGCTGACGCCTTATGCAAGGCAGCAACACGAGATGAAGTTTGGACATTTCGTGAGTTCGTGGAACGAGTTTGGCTTTGCGCTAAATGCATTGCTGCTTTGCTTGATTGATGCTGTTCCTTCGTCTTCGCAATTAAGCTTCTCTATATCGTATACCATTTTACGTCCGTGAATTTTATATTCACTCATTCATGAACCTCCAACTCATGAATTTTAAATGAAGTAGTTATCTGTAATATATGAAGCGAATTCGTTAAAATAATATAAAATCCACGCGAATAATTCCTTAATTGCCCGCTCTCAACCGTAATTATGAATTCTACTAATTTCTGTCTGAGCTCCGGCCATTAAATCGCAATAATCCTAATTTCAACATTTAATAGTTCATTACGAGAGTATCATTACAAGTGCTAATTACGATTTTGCAAAGAACTTAATATTTGACTGAGTACAATTTTCGAGGTGCTTCTACAAATTCGAGGTTAGTCCAGGTGCAAAGATATATGTGAACCCGAACGAAGTTTTACTGAGGAATATTGTTAATTATGCGTCTGATTTGTATTTCGTGTTGCTACTTCCACAGTGCTGTCAGAAGTAACAAACGACGCTACACGGTTTAAGTTGCCTAATAAAGTTCCATTCCAAAAATTAGTGTCACTGAGCGAAGATATGAACTTAGTGCTCTCAGGACACCCAGTTCGCAACTTCATAATCTCTGACGTGTCGTAATGAAAGTGCAGCGAAATTCTTTATAACTCAACTTTTAAAACCCAACTCCGAGGAAGTTCCGCAATATATTTTTGACGGCTGAGAGCGATCGCGTGAACTTTATGCGGCTCTACAACACGTTTTCTAGAATTATTGTCTACGTTTGATGCTTTGAACAATACTCAATTGAAAAAGAGACCTGACATTTGTGTGATAGAGAAGCGCCTTAACTTGTATAAAAGATGTAAGTCCTAGCGATGCCATAGATTAAACGACTACCCTCAATCTGTCTATAGTTTACGCGAGTACACATTTAAATAAAACACTTTAACGGTTTAAAACGCCATATATTAGTTAAACTTATTAGAAAATGATTTTTAACTTCGGCCCGACGTTTCGGATGCTTTGCAGCAGCCGTGGTCACGGGGAGACTAAAGATAAGACGGAACAGATGGCGCTAGCTTAGCAATTTATTACTTTGACGTCAGAGACATCCTCCATCTTTAGTCTCCCCGTGACCACGGCTGCTGCAAAGCATTCGAAACGTGTTTCAAATAAGTTAAAGTGTTTTATTTAAATACCCTCAATCTGTTATATGTTGGTCCTAAAGTTTTCTGGTACAAATTGTTAAAATAATTATTCGGAAACGGTAACGGTAAGATTGAGCAATATTCCACGAAAAACAATCCTTAATCTTAAAACCACCTCGAATTCGAGAATTTGTATAATACGAAAATGCTCTTGAATTTCACGTACAAAAATAACTCTAGTACTTTGTTGTGTAGCACGACTTAGGTGACATCATTTACAACCTCACTGTGTTGTATACAACTACGTTAGATATATTCCACTCTATTTACGTATATTTGAAATATATTGTTTATAAGTATAGATATCACAATATTGTAAAGTCATGAGACTCGAAACGCAAGAAATTTCTTCGCAAGAAAAGTAGAAGAAATAATTTTTCAAACAAAACTGAATGCTTCATACATTTCCACTGGAGTGTGTTAATATTGCAGAATTACTCAGCAATCTGACGTGACCTAGGTGTGGCCATAAACCTAGCTTTGAGATATTTATATACAATTTTTGGATGAAATCCTTGCGCAACTGTTTTTAATAAACATTAACTGTATTTCAAAAATATGCCTATGTCTTTTAAGGACTCATTCGCCACTTTTCAACATTCTGTTGGACAAACCTATTTTATTTACATAAATGTTGTGAAGGAACGATCGGCGGTCAAGTTCGTTTATTTATCACTAGCTGTGCCAGCGACTTCGTCCGCGAGAATCGTTATTTTGGGCATCCGAATAAGTTTTTGCAAACACTGTCATCTTTATAAACTTAAGCTGTTAGCCACAACGTCGATCGCGTCTCTTTCCGTCGTTCTTGCAAGTTAATCTTAAAAGATAGACATATAGCGCCGCGGATTTTTTTTAGATCATTTAAAGGGGAATTATTCTTTCTTACACAATTTTTTAGTATCTTAAAGCGTTTTCGCAGCGTACGCATCGGAACCCGTACTTCCTGAGATTAGCGCGTTCAAACAAGCTCTTCAGCTTTATATATTAAGTAAGTATAAATACACTATTGACACTTTTATGTTGTTTTTTCTCCTGTTCTATGCCTAAATTAATGTAAACCTTTTGTTTATGGTCGCCATTTTAATGGCCTCGAAGAGGTTCTAGTACCTTAGTTGGCGAGGCTCTGTGCCGTTTTAACGAGAAATCGCTATAAATTATAATAAATTGCTACATCACGCTTCGCTCTAATTGCCAGCGTATTTTATTGTAATTTATCATCTGATGCGGCTGCGCCAACTGCGTGTAGGCATGACGGAGCATTTTGTGTCAACTATCGGACAAAATGGCCACTTACAAAGGATTAGGGCAAACTTTGCTGATTCAACTTATATCTTTATTATTTAAGCATCTGATATATCAGAGTATCAATTCAGCATTCTCTTTTATTCGAACCGCAGACTTTTGTTTAAATGCATTTAGGTCGAACATTTTAATCAATTTTATTTCTAAACTCTGAGACAAAAAAGACCCGTTATACGTTTCCATTTTCATGTACAGGTAGATAGATTTCTATACTAACTTTATATTATTTAATACTCGTAACACAGCGAAATATCAAACGTGTAGATCGATTACTTAATTACAAACTGAATAGTGATCTCCAAAATAGAAAGTAATGACTTATTAACCGACGACACAAACATTTCGTCCGTTATTCGATTATGTTTCCACCACCATTTTCCGCAAAGGTAATTTAATTGAAAACTCAGAAATAACCGAGTTAAAAGTGAGAGACGCCTCATTAGTAATTAACGTTTTAATTGAAGACTGACCAAGTTCTGGGCGGGAAGACCACTCCAATTATATTCGGATAAATTTTAATGAAGGTTTTACAAAGTCGCTCTTCAATGTGACTGTTCCTATTTGAGTCATTTGTTTTCTTTACGAAATATGATATAATATAATTACTTATAACAAATTAAACATGTATAAGTTTCATATTTTGTTGTTCGCAGTATATAATTTAATTTCAAGTATTAATCTCAGAACAGGTGCTCAGTTCTCACTGATCCAAAGAAAAAAGATGTTCTTACTATTTCAGATTAACTTCATTTACGGCGCTCCTAGATCTGAATTTGTCGTATCCGGAAAACGTCTATCCATATTCATGCACTTGCAGTAAGAGAGAGACGAATGACACTCTCGAAAAATATCTTGCTCATCTAAATGAGTTAACTATCATGGGTACAGTGTTTGAAATATTCTTACTATAATATTTTCACAGGTACGAGTTAAAAAGCTACAGATTTCATGGCATTCGTTTTCATTCCGTTTGAGGAACTTGTATTCATTTGTATCACCTAAATAAATAAGCAAACATCACGAAGGTCGCATTAGGATGTGAAAGGGCAATGGTCAACAAGTCAACAAAGGAGAGGCCGAAATCGAATAACCCGTGTTTTCGTAGAGGCATTGTTAAAAAGTACTCTCATGGAGACCACTTTTCATCTGTCAAATAAATAAGATTCCGGGCCCTTGTAATTTAACGGTTCTCCAGACTCAAACGTACCTCTACATGGACCCTGCTTTTATTGGATTTCGTCTGAGGTACGGGCGGAAGCGGGTAGTGGTAGCCGGCCGCGTGCCGATCGGGGCAGACCCCCTTACGCACTATTCAGTGAAATGACTGCGTACCGAGAAAAAAGAAATTCCTACATTAAAATTACGGTTACGTTTCTAATGTCTCAAATAGTAACTCCCAATGCATCCACATGTCGTGGACACAAAAGTCGCTCGTGCCTCGTACCGCCGCTCGCAACGAGCGTTGTTCCTCGGAAGCTGTCGTGTTATTGTCAATCGAGTGCGTCCTCCGTCCATTACTCGCGGTGACGTCACGCAAACTGACTTCTCGCTCTTTTTCAGCGCTAAATAACGGCAGAGGGAACGCGTGCTTTATGGCCTGTGGCGGTAACTAATTGCCGTCCAAATACTAAACTAGAAGCGCTTCGTGTCAACTCACCTTTTAAGTTGCGCGATATCAAAGCGTCCCATTTATTTTGCGGGGCTCGCGTTCGAATGTTATGGAGAAGGATACGGCTTATTCCGTGTAATATATTATATTTTTGAGATACTTTGGAATGAACTAAGGTCGGGTGAGCAACGATTATATGACGTTATTTACTTACAACGCCGTTTTTATTTTGAGTTCTCTGGGAATGAAACTCTCGTTGATAATCACATCTGTTATAATATAATATAAAAATATAATATGATAACGAACTTTTCGTGAATTGTTAATGTCTGTGATTTACATTTCAAAGGCAACAAAAAGGTCGAAGTTGTTTTTATCCTACGATATCGCAAACCTAAAGGAAATAAAATTATAACGTTATATGGGCTACGCTTTTCGGGGAGATTAAATAAAAGGCTCTATCGTGTAGTTTGGGGAGGCGCAAAATTGGAACCATTTTCCTCTTTCAGAATCGTGTACGATACACGCGCTACATATTCGACACAACAAGTTGACAATAAGCGATATCACGAGATTTGTCCCCGCGTGTCGTGTTTCAATTACCGAAGCGCGAAAATGGTTGCAATAGATGTTTGGCACGTAATTCATTTAATAGCAAATTAAAATAGATTTCCAATAATAGTCGGAAGACATAGATAAATAATGTAAAGCGTAGTCGCGCCGTATGCGCCGTATAGTTTTATTCGTTACAACATACTCAAAAACTCAAACTTTATTATGTATATTTGCGTATTTGCAGAAAGTCTCTTGTGTTATAATGTCCGACCGACCGACCGGATACAACAGAATAAAGTAAATAGAATGTTAAGACGCTTGTAAAAGT